AATCACCTTTTAAAGGCCCTGTCTTCAAATACAGCCACATTCTGAGGTCCTGGGGAGGGGGGCACACAGTTCAGCCCCTAACACCAAAGCAGAGAAAACGTAACGAGCCCCGTGCCCACCATCCCCACTGCGGTAATCACCAGCTTACGGCCGCTCTGGCCTCACGGACACCCACTCTCCTCCTGCCCACAGTGACTGGGAAGCGAAGCCCAGACTTCACCATTTCAGCCACGAATGCTCCGGGGTGTATCTGCATCCCAAGGAGGAGGACTGCCAACCCCACACATGACGGTGCGGGCAGCCAGTCCGCATCCCCACACGGGGGCTGAGCCGGGTGCATGCATCAGCCCCACCAGCCCCACGGCCTCACACACGCTCACCTGCACGGCCCCTTCCAGTGTATTTGGGGCATTTGTCCTGGAGAGTTTCCTGGTCTGCCGATTGCCTCCCCTCATCTTCCATGTTTTCTGGAAAGTGGTCCTTGATCCAGAACTGAAGAGATGCCATTTCTGTTGGGTTGTGCTGTGGGCCTTGCACATATGGCCCGTGTGTGCGTGCCTGTCCCTGTGTGCGCAGGCCCCTCCCTCACACCGGTGTGCGTGAGCCGTGAGGTTCTGGGGAGCCCGTGGGGAATGCTCCCAGATCCCCCCCGTGGCTGCCCTGAGGGATGGTCTCATGGGACAGACCGTGTGGGCCAGCATCACACAGGAGGCTGCGTCCCTCCAAAGGTGACCAGCGAGGTGGGGTGTGTGCAGACGTGCGTGTGCGCCCGGGGTGATGGCCGCAGGGTGCAAGCACACGTGAAGTTCCCGTCAGTGCATTGATCATATTGGTTCTGCCGGGGGGGTCTCCGGAGTCCAGGGGCCTTGGCCGCCTTCCTGATTTCAGCTGTCCCCCGCTGTCCCCCGCTGTTCCGGTTCATCTTCCCCGTTTTCCGCCCCGGCCTGGAATTGGCTTTTCTCAGGAGTCCTGGCTCCTTCGGGCAGGGAATGGCGTTCAGAGCCCGGAGGCAGCCGTGATGTTCCCCCTGCACCTTGGTGGGTCCCCACCGGGGTCTGCTCACTGGGGACTCCTGATGGAGCATGCCAGGTTAGAATGGCTGCTCCATGACACAGAGGAACCGTGAGCTTGTGTGTCCGCGTCTGTTCACGGTAATCCGCTTCCTGATGGACAGTGTATCGCAGCCAGCCTCCAAGGCACATAACCTCGCTCAGCCAGGGAGTCTGAATGTAGGTTCTCCTAGAACTGGGTTGCAAACCCTCAGCTCGCAGGAGGGGCGAGCACACGGTTTACTTGACACCTGGTGCTTCTGAGGGAGACTGGGCTGCTGAGGGGCAGTGGGAGCTTTGTGGAGGGGACGCAGACGCAGGTCCTGCGTTGGCTGCTTGGTCTGCAGCGTTCTCCCCCGATGCTGCTGCTTCGTCCTCCGCCCCCACCCAGGGCCATCACCTGGGAGCGAGGCCAGCACTCTGTCCCCGAGGCCCCTGCCCTCCCGCCCACGCCTGCCGCCTCCCACGCCGCTGTCCATCCATCCCTGCCTGCACAGGTAGCATCTGCTGACCCACCTCCTGGCTCTGAGAGGGGCTTCTGTGGGAGTGGATCCCAGGGGCTGTCCCCGGCCAGGGGTCTGAGTCAGTGTCCGGCACAGAGCTGGCTCTTATTTGGGTTGTGGGAAACGGAGCCCTGCCCTCTCCACAGGGCACCCCCTGCCTCCCTGCACGTTCCCCCTGGCGACTGTGATCCTAGGGCTCTGTAAGTCCGCGGGCTTGCCCTCCAGGCCGGCCGAGGGGCAGAGGTGCCCGTGGTGCCCTGGGGGAGGGAAGCACCGAGTCCAGCCTTGTCGCTAATTACAGCGCCTTGTGAGCGCCCAGCCGAGCTGCCTGGAGACGGCCCGACCGCTCCCTTTCATCTGCCCCGTGCCCTTTGTTTTCCAGTCCAGCAGGACTTTCTACCAACGTCTTTTTGGTGATTGTGGTCTCTCCGCGGCCCCAGCACACTTGAGAACGTCCACGTGGCTGACACGGCTGTCCTGGCAGTTGTCCTGTGGCTGGAAACACTGAGTGTGCTCGGGCAGGCTCAAGCCCTGGGCCAGTTTGCACAGGGCGTGGTGGACAGCGAGGATGCTGGGAGGCCAGTGGCCGCGCCTGGGTGGACACGGGCCACAGAGCCTGTGAAGACAAGTGGGCCAGGAGGTGCAGGAAAACGGGAGGGTCCAACCGGGAGGCAGCCTAGAGCTCAGGACAAGTGGTCAGAGCCCACAGAAGGTTCTGGAAGGGGCTGCATGATGCCTTCCAAGTCCTGCCCCTCCTGGGGACAGTTTCCCCTCCTCCGGGGCAGGGCTGAGCCCGGCGGAAACACGCAGGCCCTCTGGTTGGGCCAGGTGAAAGCAAGTCCCCCCTGCACCCTGTGGGCTCCTGAGGGGGCTTGCCTTCCCCAGGCAGTTCACACAGCACTCCATAATCTGCCTGTAGAGCCACTTTCTGCCCTGTCCTTCAGGGTCCACGCAGTTCACTGTAGGTCTGTGACTCCCAGACCGCATCGCGTGTCCACCTGCCCACTCATCTGCCCACTCATCGCTGTGTGTTCTCAGCGTGACTGTTGAGAAAGAGGGTACTTCTGAAAACAACACTGGGACGTTTGCCTCAAGAAGTTAAAAGGGACATTAGAGTCGAGTCAGAGAGAGTCTGTAGGAGCTAAAATTAATATGACCGACTGGTCACAGTAGAGACAGTAAATACATCCAAAACTGGCTCAACAAACATCAATAAACTAGAAGAATATCTGTCAACATAGGCTGAGAAGTTTTAGAGGCCCAAATAATAGTAAGTACACGATGGGTCGGGGCCGGGTTGTTGTAAACACACGGGAGAATGCAGCGGGCAGCTTCATTCGATTATCTTGAAAACACATGATGGGGAAGTAATCGGGGGAGGAAAAAAATCTGCTGGGGACTTTCAGAGAGGATTTTCTCTGACAAAACCCCTGAAATGAATTCAAGCAAAAGTAGAAAATCTAGATAAACAGAAAAAAAAAAGGGGAAGAAACCAGCAGTGAGTTATATATGTATATATCTTGGTAGAAATTCCCCTGAAGAGCTGGCTCACTGGTGTGTGGACGTCACTGCAGGGCCCACCCAGGGGGAAATTGTGGGTCCGCTTGCCCCCGACTTGCCCCCGGATGCATGCTAGCAAGCAAACTCAGCAGCTCCAGAGAAAAAAGAAGCCCCAGCGGGTAGCCAGCCGGCGCTGTGACCGAGGTTTTCACGTTGGAAACGCAGTGGGTGCGGCGTGTCGCGTACGTGGGCTGAGTGAGCTCGAGCACCGTAATCTCCCCACTGGATGCAGGAAGGACAGCTTCACAACCTGAAGCAAATGCAACTCTCAAAAAACCAGGGGTGGGAAGGTACGTTCTCATCAGGGAAGAACATTTGCTACAACTTAGAGTAAGCGCCCACTTGAAAGGAAACATTGTCACCAACGTCACCCACAAGATGCGGATCTGCTGCCTCTCCTGCTCAGCCTGGAGGCGGTGCCTGGACGGGGAGGAGGCCTGCACAGGCCCAGGCCATCCCAGCTTGCCGTCCCCTGCCAGTCGTGTGGTGATGCAGGACCGCACGATGCCGTGGGTGGCTGCAGGCCACGTGGGGCGGTTGGGACTCAAGATGAGCTAGAGCATCAGGTGAACACTGGATTTTCAAGACGTTATGAAAAAGTGTGAAATACCTCATTCATAATTTTTGTATTGAGTCGTGCTGAAATGATAGTGTGTCAGATATATGAATATATTACATTAATTTCATCCCCTTTTATGTTCTATATGTGGCCACTAGACAGTCTAAAATTACATACGTGGCTTGCATCGTATGCCTACTGGGCAGTGCAGTCTTGATAGAGGCCCCAGGAGAATGTGCGGAGGGTCTGTGGGGCCAGTCCGCACAGCTCAGGTGCAGGTAACAGGGACCCAGCCAGGCGAGCCGCTGTGGGGCCCTTCGGCCTGGGTCAGCCAAGCGGCTGGGAGATGTCACTGTGCACCTTCTCTTGGCCTGTTTTCTACCCTCTCTGCATCAAAACCGTGCATTTCTGAAGTGTGTATTATTGCAAATAATTATAAATTGCATCTATTGATCATAAATCCCTTGCAAGTTTTAAGTATTGTCATCCCTCCCCCCACCCTGTTTTCTAATTAACCTCCTGAGATTAAGTTTGTCCCAAAACGCACCATTCCTGAGTGTGTACCCCGGGTGAGAACCAGAGCATGGCTTTGTGCCTAGGAGTGCTTGCTTTTAGACACAGCCGTCCAGCCACCGTGACTCTCCCTGACTTGGCCCCTCTGGCGAACATGTCCGTCCTTGCCCCCACCCTGTGTTTGCAGCTGTCCCCCTCACTGTAGGGCCTGCCCATCCCCACAGAGCCCCTCCCTTGGCATCTTCCCAACCAGACCCGTGGGGGCGTGTGAAGCCCCCCAGTGCTGCTTGTTTGAAGGCGGGCTGGCTGAGCCCTGTTCTCTGCTGGGCTCCTGCCGTGACTTCCTGGGGCTGGAAAGTCACGTGGAGTCCCTGGTCTTCCTTGTGGCCACAGTCCATCTGGCCAGCTCCGTACCTGCTGGCCCCCTGCATGGCAGCTCAGCACTGCAAAGGCATCCCAGGTTGGGCTGGGACTCGGGAGGCTAAGAAGAGCAGGGCGCGTGTGCTGGGCCCAGCTAGAGAGGGTCTCAGGTATGGGACTGCGGGGCTCTAGGATCCAGGCGAGCTCTATGGTCCATTTGCCGTTGCCACATGGGGGATTCGAGGCTGGAGTGGGATGGGGCGCAGCAGCATGATCGGAGACGCTTCGCAGGATATCCTGGGCCACCTGCCCCACCATCGTGTGAGGGCAGCGCCCTGGGCCCCGGGGCAGGCGCCGCGTTTTCCATACGGATCTGGGCTCGGCTTCTCACGCGGAGTCCAGAGGACCAGTTCTCCGGCGAATGGTTCCGGAATGACCTCACCTCTGTCTTTCCAGATCATCTTCATGACGCTGACGCTCTTCCCCATCCGGCTGCTACTCATCGTTACCATGATGCTGCTCGCCTGGCCCTTCACGTTCTTCGCTACGCTGGGGTCCTCAGACAGGGAACCCGAACAGCCCCCGGCCACGTGGCGGAAGTAAGTCACTCGTGTGCAGGTGCTCTGACATGCGGGGTCCCAGTGCCCCTTCCTCCTTTCCGTAGCTTCTCCCATCTAGGACACTGCCAGCCACATGCCTCCTTCCTCTCTGGGGGTGGCTGGTTCCATTCCCTGGCACGCCGCTGCCTCAGTCCTGCTCCGAGGTGTCTTCCAGGGTCCTGCCAGCCACGCAGCTGCTCTTGGCGTGTCCTCAGCACAGAGGCTCCCCGCCGCGTTTCCACATCCCCAGCCCTGGAAGGCTGCGTGTCGGCCAGCATCCGTCCGGTGTGCTGGTCTGCTGTCTGCAGGGTCGAGTGCCCCCCCTTGCTTCATAGACCCAGAAGTTCCCTTGTGTTTACTCATTGAATATTAATAAAGCACAACCATCTATAGATGGACGTGTTTTGAACACATCTTTTTTTTTAAGGTTTATTTATTTTAGAGGAGAGAGAGTGAGCGTGTACACATGTGAGCACAAACAGGGAGAGGGGCAGAGGGAGAGAAAGAATCCCAAGCAGACTCCCCTCTGAGTGCAGAGCTGGGGGACTCAGTCCGAGGACCCCGAGACCATGACCTGAGCCAAAATCCTGCATCAGATGCTCAGCTGAGTCACCCAGGCGCCCCATGCTTTGAATACATCTTAACTAGAGACTCAACGTGGACCTCAGAAAATTAAACCAGAATATTTTCTTGTTTATCCCTAAAGCTGTTCTTAAAGTATACACCATTAGTAATGAAGAGACCGAGATATAAGGACTTTGATAAATATTTCCAGCATCTTAGAAGTTGTCGTTTCTGTTGAAAACCCAGAGTGCTGCCAATTGTCCACACCTTAGTGCCTCTCATCAACCCCTCGGGGTCCTCAAACAGTTGATGCAGAAACAGAAATATCATCAGCCTAGCTCAGGGGTCCCCTAAACCCGGGCCATATCCAGCCACTGCCTGTTTTTATATGTACAGTTTTTCTGGAACTGAGCCACACCAGGACCTCCTTCACGGAGGCAGAGGCCGTGCGGCCCACAGAGCCTCAAATATTTGCTCCTTGCCATTTAGGGCTTAGCAGATCGGCTCAGTTCTCCTTCCCTAGGAAGCGTCTGACCGACAGGAACACGATGCCCGCGAGAGGCAGGTGGGACCTGGCGCGTGTCCTCAAGGTCGGCTTTCCCGATGTGCACCTGCCATGGGCAGGCACAACAGTGACGTGCATAGCAAAGACAGTGAATTTCGATTCGCGGGTTTCCTGGGCCGGCGAGACGTGTGGCTTGGCCATGCTTGGGGACGGTCCAGCTGACCAGGGAACTCCTCACGTGGCTGTGCGCTCCTCACGGTGTTCACGTTCTTAGACCATGTCAGAGTCAAGTGAACCATGGTCTTCCTCCCTGAAAGACCAGAAGGCAGGCCAGGATCTCTTCCCACTCCAGCCCCAGTGCAGCACCCAGCGCCAGGGTGCTAGGAAGTGGGTCCTGAGTGGGGGGGGTGGTGGAGGGAGGGAGGGAATGGAGGGGTGAGTGTAAGGGGGAGGGGGAGGGAGGGAGGGAGTGTAGGGGCTGGGCTCCCTACCCCCCTCTTCACTCATCCCCCTGCGGATTGTCTTTTTGGAGTGTGGGACTCTGGGCTGTTCTCCGTTTCCCGTACCAGCTCCACGTGCTCCGCTGGGCTTTTTGGGTGATACGGGGCCTCAGCTGACTAGCGTCAACAGCACTGCTTCAGGGCGCCTCGTGTGCCCTAGCGTGTGCCTGAGAGGTGGCCCTCGTGGCAAGATATAGACACGTCTGAGGTTTCATGAGAACTCTGGGTCTCTGCGTGCATGGAGACTACTCAGCACTGTGTTCACATGTGCATACTGTGCAAGCATGTGTACCTGCCTGTGCAGGAGTACAAGTATGTGTACACGTGTGCATATGTGTGTCCAAGCACTGTGTGTATGGATGTGTATATGTGCACGTGAGTGTATCTGCATGTGCGTGACCATGTATATGTTGTGTAAGCATGTGCATGTGTGTACAGGTGTGTGAGCTTGTGCATGTGTGTAATGCCTTGTGTGAGCATGTGTGTGCATACATATGTTTGCATGTGGGCGAGTATGCATGTGTACATGTGTGTGTGCATGTGTGCATACGTGCATGTGTATGTTGTGAGCATGTGCATGCGTACGTGTGTGCATTGTGTGTGTGCAATCGTGTGTGCACATATGTGCCCTGGGGGCGTGTGTGTGTGCACATATATATGATGCATGCATGTGTGGATGTGTGCATGTGTGTGCATACACAGCCCTCGGGGTCTCCACACAGCAGTATTTCAGGAACTCCATGCACAGCCCTGCTCTGGCTGGTGCTCCAGGGGAAACAAAGGACAGTCAACACTGAACTCCTTAAAGGAGAACACGGTGACAAAGTGCCTGATCTGGGGACTCGGGAGTTAGGGAGAAGTGGGTTTTGAAACAACAGGTTTCAGAGTCCACAGGCTTGTACCGAAGAATCCTCATGGAGTCAGCAGGGAGGCACATTGTTCCATGCTGTGCAGAGTTGTGTGGATTTGAATAGATTGATGTTCCATCAGGGAGGATTTTTGCTGAATATAAGCTAGTGTCATTCAAACCTCTTAAAAGCCTTGGGTTTTCAATGAAAGGAAGAATGACACAATTTCCCAAAGACATTTACTCAAGGTTACTTTCAAACCACAAAGTAGTGTAAAAACCGGAGCATCTTCTTGCAAAACCTGACCGGCAGACCAAGTGTCCTCTGGGTGCTGCCCTGTGGCCAACTCACATGGTTAGAGGATGTCATAACTCCAGCCACTGTAACCACGTGCCACGGGCTGGGGGCCTAAATGACAGAAGTTTCCAGAAGCTGGGAGTTGGGAACCCGCGTGCTGGCAGACATGGTTCCTGGCCCGCAGATGGTGCCCTCTTGCTGTCCTCCCCTGGTGGAAAGCTCTGCTCTCCCTCCTACCAGGATACCAGCCCCCTTGGCATCAGAGCCCCACCCTTAGGACCGCATTTAACCTTATTTCCCATTACAGTCAGACTCACGTTTTTCCTGTTGCTACAGAATAATGAGCACTGAGCGTAGCCTTACAGTTCTGCTCCCTCGTGGTCTCGCTGCCTTGCTGGGATTACACTCTCTTCCCAGAGAGTTCCAGAGCCCCCGATCCCCCACAAGTCACTCTTCTGCCGGATGCAGTGCCTCCCTGCAAATCTTTTGGGCATGATCTATCTCCTGGGCCTGGTTTGGGGTTTTTCTTTCTTTTTTCTCATTTTTCCCTCCTGGATTTCCTGGAGCATAGGTTTTGTCTCAGAAAGAGAACAAGCAGGAGAAACTGAGGTGCATTTCGTGTCTGAACATGTCTTCATTCTCCCCTCACTGTTGATGGGTAGCTGGTCCGGGCAGAGAACTATAGGTTCCAGATCTTACGGCCCCAGAGCCACGTAGCTGCCGGCACCTTCGGCGGTGACTCTTGAGGAGACTACATGTTCCTCTCTGTGAGTTTTGGACTCTTCTCTCTGTCCTTGGGAATTTGAGAAGTTCTCAAGGAAATTGTAGGAGTCTGTCGTTTTGTCTTAAATTCATTCTGCTCCTTGATGTGGTGCTGAAGATCTGTGTCTGTCTTCAGCCCTAAGAAACTGCTCCCTTCATGTCCAGGGTGCTGTCCTTTTTCTCTGGCGTGTTCCAGAGACTTCCTTCTCACCCTCCGGCTTCCAGGGAGCTGGCTCTTCGTGCAGAGAGATACTGGATTTCCGAGCGTGCGTTCTTGTTCTCTGTCCTGGGTTCCGTCACAGCCTGAGGAGAGTGTGGGCTCCCAGCCTCTCTTCTGATGCCAGCCACCCCGCCTCCTCACGTCAGAGTCTCCTCCGTGCCCCGTGGCTGGTTCTGCCCACATCTCAGATTCTAGGGCGCCCCCCGCTCGGGGGCGATGAACAGAGGATGCGGCAAAGGCTGGAGGTCGCTGCCCTTGTGCCTGTAGTTCTGTCTCCCAACTCGCTGGTCCCGGGAGTCACTCCGTGGGCACCTCGGGCTTGTTGCTGGCTGCCGCTGCGGCGGGCGGGGGGCGCTGCACGGGGCTTGCTCTGGGCCTGCATCCGCACCCACAGGCTGGCTCTGCCTGGTGCACGGTCTCACTGGGGCTGGAGCTCCTCCGAGATCTTGAGAGAACCGTTAGGTGTGGTGCATCCATACGCCCCCCGCATTTCTGTTTAGTGCCGTCTGGCCTTCGGACCTGAGGGCTGGTGGGTGTGTCTCTCACAGACGCGTCCGGAGGCCCCACGTCCGAGCAGCTCCCTCTCTGCCTTCCTCAGAATACGACTTCCTGGGACTGGCTCTGGGTCCCCTGCACAAAGCCTCATTTCTTCCTTGTGTACCAGTGGATATCTCTTGGCTCTTATTTCTGAATGTGTTCTTATGAAAAGTAGCGTGCGTGCAGACAGGCGTGTTCAAAACTATGCAGTTGGACAAATAGTGAAAAGTGCGTACCTTTGCTTGCACCCAGTGCTGGAGAGGGGGCATCAAAGCCTGGCCCCGGCGTCTCGGCATACAGTCACACAATAACTGTTCTCCATCCAAACAGGGGCCTTCTAGACGTGGCTCCACCAGGGGCTCGGCGCTCATCTGGGGATTGGCTACTGCTCGGCGCTGTGGGGCCTCATCTTCCAGGATTCTCTTGAGAGGGTTTTTAAGCCCCTTGGGGACCGGTCCAGTGAGGTTTCAAGCTCTTATGTTTCTGTTGTGCAGTCTGACCATCTGCCCAGTGCAACACGGCTCCTCACAAGAGGTGACCCCTTCTCCTGGGCCCGTGGTCACTCATGTGCCGGGCCTTTTGCCTCCATGTGGTTTCAGTGACATGGATCTTCATCTAGTTGCAGTTGGTCACAGGTGACACTGAGAAGGATGTGCAGATTTAAATGCCTAAATTCTCGTATGTTTGGGGCGCCTGGGTGGCTCAGTCGTTGGGCGTCTGCCTTCAGCTCAGGTCATGGTCCCAGGGTCCTGGGATCGAGCCCTGCATCGGGCTCCCTGCTTCTTCCTCTCCCACTCCCCCTGTTTGTGTTCCCTCTCTCACTGTGTCTCTGTCAAATAAATAAATAAAATCTTTTAAAAAATAAATAAAATTCTTATATGTTTAAAAAACAAATAGGAAGCAAGTTCAGTTAATCTAGGCTGATCGTTATTTTATTTTCCACATTTATCCATCTAATTTCATCAAGAAGAGGCTTGCTTTAAATAACATGGCGTCTGATTCTGGGACCTCAGGAGCCTGAGGGCAGGGGATGGGAGTGGCTTGCCACAGACCTCTGCCCCTGGTCTCAGCCCCAGCGTCACTCCTGATTTTAATGGCGTTTTAGATATCTTGGTGGGGTTTTTTTTCACTTATGCTAATAAGTCACCTTCCAGCACTTAAGGTCCCAGTGGCTTTAACGTCACCCGCGTCCTTGCTCTGCTTACTCTCTTCAGGAGTCGGTGTCGGTCTTAGTGACGCTGTGTCTCGGGGCAGAGACAGCACTTCTGTTTTCTTGGCTAAATTAATAAAAAGGCATCCCACCCCACGTTTAGTGGAGGGGAGGGAAGCACAGCATCCGGACGATGCAGTAACCGCTGTCTGGGGTTTGGATGGGTCTAGAGCGCGCCCTGGATGACCCGCCCGAGGTCAGTGCCGAGCTTCTAGTGTCCGTGTCCATGGGTCAGCCTTGTGCTAGCAAGCTGAGCATGGCGCCCGTGACACCCCTGCTCTGGCCCGGGGTAACCGCCGCACCTTGTTTTGCAGGGTTGTGGACTTCCTGCTCAAGGCCATCATGCGCACCATGTGGTTTTCCGGCGGCTTCCACTGGGTGGTCACGAAGGGGCAGCAGGCCCCTCCGTCCGAGGCCACCATCCTCACCCTGGCTCCGCACTCCTCCTACTTCGATGCCATCGCTGTCACCCTGACGATGTCCTCCATCGTGATGAAGGCAGAGAGCAGAGACATCCCAATATGGGGAAGTGAGTGAGCTCCCTCCCCACCCACCCCCCTCCTGCTGGGAGTGAGCGAGACCTTCCCACTGGAAGTGGGCGCACCCCCCCACATCCTGCTGGTCCATGCAGGTCACACCCACATGAAGTAGGCATTTGTCCTTGAGTCTCTTCTGTTTCCTTTGTTGTGGTTTTCTCTGTAACATTAGTTGTTGTGGGTTTTATTTTTGGTTCACACACAAGTGCCCTCAAACGTCCTGTGTCAAAGTGCCTGCTCACGTTTTGTCCCTGGCATGCAGGGCCTGTGTCACATGGTCCTAGAAGTGTCTGTGTCCCAGTGCCCTGGTTATGGGGCCAAAAGCCCAGGTGTGCGGGTGTCCCTCGGCCACGTGACAAATTACCCAGCTGGTGGCTTAAAAAAGCAGAAACTTATACTCTCACAATTCTGGAGTCAAAAATCTAAGGCCACAGTGTCCAAAGCCTCGCTTCTTCTGGAGGCTTTTGGGGAAGGTCCTTCCTGCCTCTTCCAGCTCCTGGGGCAGCTCCTGGCGCCCCGGGTAGTCCTGGGCTCGTGGCCGCATCTTTACTGCCCCAGCCTCCCCTCCTCACAGGCCTCCCACGTGTGTCTCCCTGTGTGTCTCTTACAAGGACACTTGTCCTTGGGTGGTCTACGGTAATCTCATCTCCAGGTGCATAACTAACTACATTTGCAAAGATTGCTTTCTGAAATAAGCTTTCAGTCACAGATCTTAGGAGTTAGGATGTGGACACATCATTTTGGGGTGCACTGCACCATTACCTTGGGAACTACAGGGAATGCGGGGCAGTCAGCTTACAAATGAAAGCACCTTCCTCCTCCCGGCCGGGCTCACGCCGGAGCGGTCCTGCCCTGCAGGGCCGGCCCACCTATTCCTGGTTCTCATCCCCCTGGTTTCTGCGCCAGGGGTTGCCACCCAGCCCCAGTTCCTCCAGGCTGCTCCTGGGGGGCCCTACCCCACCCTCACTCTCCTCTGCCCACCCCTCACTGTTTAGACCATGGGCATGTCATGCAGAGCGTGTCCACAGTGGATTCTGGAGCAGGGCTGGTGTGGGCGGGAGGCGCATGGTGCTGGGGCAGAGCTGCAGGGGCAGAAGGTCCTCACTCTGTCCGCCTTCTCTGAATTCTCCTGAGTTCCCTAACTCATGTTAGTGTTCAGGTGACAGTTAAGAGAGAACATTGTGTACATTTTATGTTGTCTTTCTAGTAAGTGGGACATTCTGAGAGGGCCCAATATGTTTTGTGCTTTTGGCAAAAGAGATGCTAACCAGCATTTACTTGACTGTGGATCAGAGGGTGTCTGCTCAGATAGCTGCGATAAAGCACCACACTCTGGGTGGCTTTTAAACAACAGCCATTCATGCCCCACGCTCCTGGAAGCTGGGAGTCGGGATCAGGGGAGCCAGCAGGGTGGGGTTCTGGCGACAGCCTCTTCTGGGCTGCAGACAGCCACCTTCTCGCTCTGTGCTCACACAGTGGAAAGCAGAGAGGGGTGGTGAGCAGTTAGGACCCTCCGTGGTCTTGTCCCTAGGAATGGTGACACAGGTCCTCCATTTAGACCTAACGGTCTCAGCCAAGGTGGTTTCAGTGCTGGCGGTTACAGAACCAAAGTAAAATGAAGGCACCCCTCCTACAGAGCCGGCAGGCTAGCCCCCCCCTTGCGGAACTTCCTGCAGGAGGGTGTGCAGATACTCGGGGACACTGGCCATGGACGTATAGGGCCAGTAATTTTGAGCCTGGTTATCCAAATAAAGGTTTATATGTCATGTGCCTGGAAAGTCAGGTTAAACCGAGGATTTTCTGAAAGCTGGGTGGAGACTCTGGTAATTAGCAAATATGCGTTTCACTTTAATAATGCTAGAAGGTCATCACAGGCTCCTAAATATAAAGCAGTGTGGTCCCTGGCAAAGGACGCGGGAAGCTCTTTCAATTTTGCAATTTTGTTCCGATTTCTTATTTTAAGTTTTAAGCTTCAGGCTGTGGAATGTTAGCATTCTGGGGAAGTGCTGGGATTTGGGGGGGCATGTCATCTCCCCCTCATTCGTGTACAAATTACGCAAAGCCTTCTCGAAACCTTGCCTTCAATTATGGCTCGAGTCACAAGTTAGAATCATGGAGGCTCATAGTTGGACCTGCTCATCCACTTCCCAAGGTCAGGGTTCGAAAGCCAACTCCGTTGGCTGAATGTGCTGGGGGCTGCAAGGTCAGAGCGGAGCTCCATGCCCCCCACCGCTGACCTTAACCTTGGGGTGTCAGAAGGGAGGGCCACCAACATGTCCTCTGTGTGGGGGGGTCCTTCGTGTAGACTTACATTCCCACTCATTTCAGGGATAGCATAGCAGTAAGAGTGAAGGAGTGGTGATGGACCCATTTATTGTAGATTTTAATTAGAACTCATATATGGCACATCTCATCCAAGTACTAACCAGGCCTGACCCTGCTTAGTTTCCAAGATCAGACGAGATCGGACACGTTCAGGGTATGGCCGTAGACCATATATGGCAAATCCCAAATTGTATTCCCTTTCTCCGGGTTTTGAAGGTAAATACACCTGAAAGGGGCTCTACCCTAGGAATGCAGCTGAGGGCTTCTCCCATCATGCGTGACCAGAACGCACCCCGTGACACAAGTCTGGATTCCCGTGTCACTGGGTGGGTCTCGCTGGCCGTTCCTTCTGGTTCCTCTCATCCTTGTTGTTTAAAGCACGAAGCTTTTGGACCCTTTGACAGCTCACAACTTTGGTGAAGAGATGAATGTTAAAAATATTCAAAATATTTTCACCTTCGGATTTGTAAATACCAGTTAGAGTAATCAGCCCAGGGATTTCTCTCATTGTTACATTGTCAGTTTACTTTCAGTGTCCTTGATATGGGCACCTGGGAGTTTAAAGACCTGAGGAGGTTTGGTGCTCAGTGTCAGAGATGACAGAGCCGGCTCACAGTTTTGTTGCCCGGCCCCTTGTTGCCAACACCGCTGGGGCTTACCCGGCAGGAGCCACATTTCCTCTCTGTCCTCAGAAGCAAGCTCTTCAGTTGTGAGGTCTCCAGTGTGGGTATTCACCTGGGGATTCCCAGAAAGAGGTGCAGTCTGAGATTTCAGTCAGGATGAAGCCCCGTCATCCTCGGAGCCCAGAGAGCCACTCCCCACCTCTGCCTGGAGCCTCAGCTCATCCATGAGTGGCGGAGAGCCATCCTCCACGTTGCCAGGAAAGGGGAACCCTGTTCAGGGAGACCAGCCAGCCTGCAGCCTTCTCTCCCACCCTGGGAAGACTGTGCGGAGCTGGTGTGGACAACAGGAAGCTGGGTGGCTTCCCATCGTCTTGTCCTGCGGGGGCTCCCCCCAGCCCTTTCCCTGCGTGTCACTCCCCGCAGAGTTAGGAGGAATTGGCAAGAACGATGCAATGGGGAAAGAAGTTTCCAGATGCCGGACGAAAACATCACTGAGACCCACATGCAGCTTAGATTTTGAGTCCCGTGGACCTGACGAGATAGAATTTTGTTCTTTTTTGTTTTTTAATGAATTTTCTCTTTGTCTTTTGGAAGACCTCCCAGAAAGAAGAGTCACAACATGTTATTCTTACGAGTAGTTAGAACACTCGGAAGTCCGAGCTGCTGTGGGCCCGGCGGGGACGTGGCTCACCCATGGGGATGCCCTGCTGCCGCGGCCACCCCTCGTCCTTCCTGGGAGTGGACACCCTCCCTAAGGATGACTGTCCTGTCAATTTGGGGTTTCTCTCCTAAGAAGTGTCTCCCCACCTTCAGATCCTCTTGTGCGAGAACCGTGTGCTGGTTGCTGCTGTCAGCTCTGGTCACGAGGGCACTGACCTGCCACCCCAGCAGGGCCGTGGGCCCCCTGTGCCAAGCTAGTTAGGACCACAGCTGTGTGAGTGTCCTGGGACGCCCCCGACAGAGGGCCGGCCGCACACTGGGCGGCTGAAGACAGCCAGATGTTGATTCTCACACTGTCCTGGGGGCCGGGAGTCCAGAGCCGAGGTGTGAGAGGGCAGCTTCTGGGGAGAGGCCGTGCCAGGCCTCCACAGCCTCTGGCGGTTCCCCGCCATCCCGGCGTCCCGTGGCTCTGGTCACATCACTCCGGTCTTGGCCTCTGCCGTCCCGTGGCCTTCTCCCTGCATGCACACCCATGTCTCTCCCTCCTTGAGAGGACGCTGGACGTGGGTCAGGGCGCACCCTACTCCAACACCACGTCATCTTAGCTCAATTGCATCTGCAAGCACCCAATTTCCAAATACAGTCACAGTCCTAGGTACCTGGGGTCAGCACGTCAGCCTGTGTCTTTGAGGGAGACGGGTCTACACGTAACGGGGTGGTGGGGTTTAAGCCATGCGCCTTGGGCCCTTCTGACTCTGGAGCCTTTGCCCCCCAACGCCCTCCTCTGTCAGTCTCTTCTCGTTGCTTTCTCCTGCTTTACAGCCTGTGGATGCCGGTGTCGTTCCCCTGGACTTCGCAGGTTGTGGGGTTTCATGCCATCGTGGGAGGGAGCTTCTGTGATTTTCCTGATCCCCTCATGATCAGGCATTGACCCAACACCCACCCGCCCTCGGGGACAGTGCTGCCCTCGGGGCGTCTCTGGGGGCTCGCCTGCACCCACTTGCCGTGGGCAGCCCTTGTCCCTCCAGTCCTGCTGCGGCAGGTGCCGTGGTTCCCAACGCATGCCCCTCCTCCCCTTCCAGCTCTGATAAAGTACATCCGGCCAGTGTTCGTGTCCCGGTCAGACCAGGATTCCCGAAGGAAGACCGTGGAGGAGATCAGGAGGCGGGCACAGTCGAATGGAAAGTGGCCACAGGTAATGCAGTCCTGCTTGCATTTTGAGCAGATTTATTCCGGAAGATGTGAGCCTAGAGATGGGGGCCAGGTTCATTTTCTTTCATTTTGTTTGATGAGCATGTGAATTCAAGTCTGTGCTAAGTGTCAGGTACTTTTGGGTCCTAAAATTTGAAAATTGAAACAAACGAGAAGACCATTCTCATGCGTATCTCAAGTTCCCAAAGCATCTTTACTGAAATGGCTCTGCTTATAAACTCCTGCCCTCGCGCTTGGCACAGTCTCACGTCTGACAAGTGCGCCGGTCGTGAGGCGTCGCTGTTTGCTCCTGAAAACCCTGGCGGAGCTTGCCCGCGTGTGCCCGGCGCCCGAGGGAGCGTCAGGAAGGCCTGACGCGGGCGGCGGGGCGGCGGCCTCAGCCTGTGTCAGCTGTATTTCTCTGAGCCTGAGAAGCTGGAGCTCCCCGGGACTGTCCAGGTTCTGGGTGCTCAGAGAACATTGGAAGGCCTGAGTGCCGGGCACCCTCACTCACGGGCAGGCCCTCGGGGCCGCGACATCCAGGGTGCCTGGCTCCCCGCCTCTGGAAGCAACCATGTGGGCTGTAGTTTCCAGTGCAGGGGGGAGAGTTTAGTTTATATCGTGTGGCTGGAGGTCAGTACGAGTCAGAGTAATTTGGGGTTCCAGTGGGGGAGGTGTTTAACCGCTGGTTTTGTGGTGTTTCTGGTTGCTGGCCCGGCTGTGCCTCGGTTCTAGCCCTGGTCCCGATTCCTTCAGCCAAGGGCCCTTCGCTGAGCCCTCCTCTGTGTGCCTTTGTCCTGCTTTGCCCCAGGTGTGTGTGGCGGGGGGGGGGGCTGCATGCTGACAGGGCGTCCAGGCAGCGGTAGCTGGGCCTCACAGTGGCGGTGATCACCCCGACGCACGCTCTGAGGAGGCGTGTGCTGTCTGCATGTTTGCATTGCTTCCAGATCTTTATAGAACTTACACTTAGAAATCCACGCATGCTTCCACCATGCATCTAAGCTGTTCGATTGAGTGTGATTAAAGCATCTCAGCAGTGGAGAAAATAGACCATATTCTGGGTTCTATTCCTTTAAGGCTAACCTTTTTTTCTTTTCATTCCAAGATAATGATTTTTCCAGAAGGAACATGTACCAACAGGACCTGCCTAATTACCTTCAAGCCTGGTATGTAATTTTTCTTAAATTCTCTGTTTTCCTCCTTGAGCAAAGTGGGGGAGACACTCCTGGGCCCATTCCCTGCAGGGCATGGCTGCGAGCCTGCGGTCTTCCTGACGTGACACGGCCAATGCCCATGTCAAGGGAGCCTTCCAGGCACCCCGTGACCATTCACCAGGAAGGGGGACAGAAACACTGCTTTCCTCTGGGACCAGCATGAGACGGGCCCCCAGCGGAGGAGCTCTGCCCTCGAAATAAGATGATGCCCCTTTCCCCCCAGGTGCCTTTATCCCTGGAGTTCCTGTGCAGCCTGTGGTTCTACGGTACCCGAATAAACTGGTCAGTGTGTTTCCTGGGATCACAGTCACCTGCCTGGGAATGAGAATTCCCGGTGCCTCAGCGGGTCATTTCTAGCCAATCCGCAATGCCAGGACCGCTCCAGTGTTCATGCAGGAAGGGCTGTTGTCACGGGTCATGGAGCGGTGGCCCTTCCTCCCTGCTGATCGGTCCTGCCGAGTTGATGTGAGCCATCCACCCTCGTCCTCAGCAGCCTTAGCTCCCTGCTCACCTGGGAAACAAGAGCGTTGAGAGAATCTAAGTTCTGAAAGGCTGGGGGCAGCGGGCAGGAAAGGCATAAGTGACTCTGTATTGAATATGCCTCTGTGTGCACCTGCCTCCGTGCGGAGGTCTTCGCTTGTTATGTCAGAGCAAAGTAAAAGAGGGGGCGTTTGGGGCTCCGAGTGCCTCGGTGATTTTGAAGGACCCCCAGCTCGGGGGAGGCAGGAAGGCTGGAAAAATCCTCCTCAGGTTGTGGTCAGAGCCCCACCGCATACCTGTGTAAGCATCCTCAGCTGTCCCTTCCCCCGGGGGCCCTGTGGACGTGCCACATGCGTCCGGTTCAGTGGGCCGCACTCCCCAGGGCAGGCATTGAGCTCCGGTGGGTGCTGTTCGGTGCCCACTGCATCTCACTTCTGCCGTGACCCCCTCCTGGCGGATGTCCTTGCACCTACATGGGCATCGGGGTCCCACCACCAAGACTCGTGTCCCTGGGCCCTGCGTGGGTGCGGGTGCTCTGGACTGTTTCTTGATGGAGGACACATGAGGTGGATTTGTTCACTGCACTGAGCTTTCTCCCTATCACGGTGCGTCTTCATGAGGGCAAAAAAGAAACTCAGCAATCACAGCACGGTGCAGTCTGGAGTTGCTAGTCTAAATGGAGGCAGAATTACGTGTCACATCTGTGGGCATGAGGGGCTGGCCCCCCCGCCTCTGGGCCAGACCCGGAGGGTCCCAGGTTTGCACACCAGACCCTGTGCCTATACGTGCACACAGCGCAAAAGAGGTTCTCCAAGTGGTCAGTCAGTAGATGTCAGTCAGAACCCGTAGCCACACAAACTGACAGATAAAATGACTGGGAGAGTGCACACCAGAAACTCTGAATAGGTGCATTCACTAGCCAGCGTCTGAGACTAAGAGAATCATCAGTGTGTGGAATTCTAGGTTTTCTATTTCTTTAAGCTTGTTTCGTCAATTTACTTTAAGCAGATTGTCTCTGCTGGGTTCTCAGTTGTCAGAGAAGCAGAACAGCTGCTTTACTCATTCATCCCATCAGTCTGTGTCACGTTCTTCAGCGGCCTAGCTTCAGGGAGAACCACCACTAACAGCTTTGCACGCAGGCCCGTGTGGAGGACGAGTGGCCGAGGGCAGGTCGGGGGCTGGGGAAGCCCCTGTGGTGGGTGGCTTTTCAGGAGTCTATGGGAAGCCAGCAGGTGGGTGTCAGGATTTCAGAAGAAAGAAGCCCAGTGTCAGGGTAGAAACAGGGTGTGTGTCCTCCCACGTCCCCACCTAGGTGGCTGGTGCAGCAGCTAAAACTGCAGATGGGGGGCGCCCACAACACTCGGGGTCCTGGGCACGCTTGGGGCTCTGCAGTGGTTTCTTCTCCCTCGCAAGCCTTGGCTCAGCTGCTAGGCATCTCTGGCCCAGAGTGGAGGCCAGGGCCTTGGGGGTACAGGTGGGTGTGGGTTGGAATGAGCCTCATGTGGCAGGTGATGGTGATGGCAGGGCAAGTGTCACAGGGACTGCTCGCAAAAAGCAGGTTCCTGTGCTGTGGACTGATATTGGCAGGGACACCTTGAACACGGGGGAGGGCAGAAAACGGAACTGGGGCAGCATCTCAGGCGGACATCAGAAAATCGTGGACCTTGGAGCCGTGGGAGGACAGGAGTGTGTCTGGGTGGCCTGGAGGTGATGGACACCCATCTGCTCCCTTGTCCCAGAGTGGGCTTGGGAGGAAGAGGGGTACCAGCATCTCTGGGGTCAGAGGTGGGCCAGGTTGAGGGCCAGGACAGAGGGTGGACACACCATGGAAGGAAGGGCTCATGAGAGAACTCCGGGTGCCTGATTTCCAGCTGTGATTCATTTTGCTCCTTTCTTGCCCCCAGGATACCATCACTTGGACCTGGCAAGGCCCCGGAGCGTAAGTCAGACCCTGTAGTGTCTCGTGTGTCCTGTCCTGCTGGGAAAGCACAGGGGCCACTCAAGTGACTGCCCTGCATTCTGGGTACTTCTGCAAATGTGGATCCTCGGAACACATAACCCACTGCTCTCTGACAGCAGTTAGGGTCTGCCCACTGTGAAAACTTAAGTGTGCAAGCCTGGTCTGTTCGCACACTCTTGGGCTCCAGGACCTAAGTTAATGGTCTTCAACTCCAGAGGGAAGGTGACTGTGGAGTGCTCTTTTGTCCCCACGTGTGCCTGTTGGCTCAGTGGCCACCATCCCATCCACACCGCACCCTGCAGCTCCTGGGAAAGAAAGGGGAGCTGCAGGGATGGGCCTCCTTTTAAAAAGCTGCACGGGGGAGGCTCGGGTTCTAGGACAGCAGGCCTCCGTGGTGCCAGCCTTTGACCTGGTACAGCAGAAGGGTGGGTGGTGGGGCCAGGCAGAGCCCTCCCAAGGCCTCTGGGCAAGGCATTTGGAACGGATGCTGGGGAGGTGCACCGAGGGGCAGCATATGTGGGCGCTGGTGTTAGCATTGCCGAGGCCAGAGTGTGGAGGGTGGAGGGTGAGAAGCAAGGGGGACGCTGGGAAAAAGGTGGGAAGGGCTCTTTTGGGCCCTGGTAGCCAGGCTTGGGGCTGGCAGTGATAGGGCAGAAGTCGGGTATGTACGAGAGAGTTAAGAGGACAGTTGTCCACTGCGGAGAGGAGCAATGGCCCAAGGACAAGAGACTCCAGATGGCTCCGCATTTCCAGCTTCTGCAAATAAAGGGTGGTGATGCCGGTTCTGAGGTCAGGAGCTCTGGGGCTGGCCTTGGGGGTGGCATGACTCAGGGCCTGTTGAGTCTGCATTGCCTGGGGACAGCCAGGTCTGGGACTGTGTCACGTAGAGGAGGTTTCCTGAGCCAGAAGACACACTTGGGAAATGGGGGCGTGCAGGGCAAAGGAGAGCTGCAGGAGTGGGTGCATTCATTGGGACAGTGAGGAACCCTGATTAGTAAGAGTAGCCCCATCCTCATCACAGTGTTGTCAGGCTCTGCTTTAGGCTGAGGGAGGCACAGCATCCCCTAAACAAATTAACTGCCCAGTAGTGCCTTCTGCAGGGGACAGGCATCCGGGGAGTTGGCTCCAGAATTGGAAGTAATTTAATTAAAAGACATTGAGAATCTTTTAACCAATGCTGTCAATCTGTTTGTTCATTTTTAAGGTTGAAAATCCTGTGGCTCACACTGTGTCAGTTTCACAATCGAGTGGAAATCGAGGTTTGTACAGATGCGGTGTTAAACAGCATTATGCAAGGGTCTATAAAGATGTAGTATCAGAGTGCTGTGTTAAGCTGTCTAGATGCAATGTGATACAACGTTATGTCAGGGTCTATATCCTATAACGTTACATGGTGTTACAGTCTGTGCACATACAGTGTTATAGAGTGTCTACTGGTGTCTGCACCCATACGGAGTGATACAGTTACATTGTCTACATGTGCAGTATTATGTTGCATCTGTGTGGATACAATGTTACACTGGTATCCACAGATGAAATTGTATGTTGTCCATACAGATACAGTGTTACACAGCATTTTATTGGTGTCTGTGTGGATACAGTGTTATACAGTGTTTCATTGTGGATGCAGTGTTATGTTGGTGTCTATACAAAGACAACATGATGTTATCTGTGGACGTGAGGTTTTACTGGTGTCTGCAGATACAATGTGATGTGGGCATCTCTAGAGATAGTGTTGGTATCTACACAGACAGGACGTTCTACCTGTCACGTTGCTGTCTGTACAGATACAACATTGTGTGTCATCTGTCTTGCTTTGAAATCTTTCCACTTCTCTTTGCTCCTCAGAGATGCTTCCCTGTGGTTTTTCATCAGTCACTTTGTGTCTCTTGCATGATTTTGCAAGAATCAGATAGGTCTTTAAAAATCAACAAGGAAGTTAAACCCTTCTTTTATTATGGTTAGCATAGCTTGAAGGCGTTTAAAATTGGTACATGTGCAGTGAATTATGTCTTGGCATTTTTACATGATACCGACGCTGTCGGATTCATATGGCAGACCTGTCATCCTGTCATTCTCTGTCTGTTCCGTGGTCAGATCACATAACCTGCCTCCAGCTTTCAGCCCGTTGTATGTCCCAAAGTCATGACACCCATTCTCTCGGCTCAGTTCAATAGCCACATTCGTGTAGTCTGTACGTTTTATCCAAGTGGATGAGGAATAGAGTCTCTTTCTTAAAAGGGAATCAGTCGGCTACTCTGCCCCTGAAAAGGGAGCCCGAACATGACGGAAAGGGTTTAATGAGGCAGTTTGCTACCTTCTGATAAAAGTTGCAGAGTTGCACTGAATTTACATGGATTTCAGCCAGGTTCCAGATTTTTCACTTCAGTACAACATAAGCCACTTAATTACAACACACTGAGCCAAAAGGTCCCTGGCCCGAGTCCAAGGGTGGCAGCCATCCACGTAGAATGTTACATGTGGCTCGTCTGCAGGTGGCCGGGAAGCAGCCGTGCAGCGGGGCTCAGGGGAGGACGCCTCCAGTGTGCACTTCTCTATTTCAGGCCTCAGTTCCAGTTTTCAGAGTTGTTTTTTTATTTTTTAAGATTTAATTATTTGTCAGAGAGAGAGAGAGCGAGCACAAACGGGGAGCAGCAGAGAGAGAAGCAGGCTCCCCATGGGAGCAGGGAGCCCAATGCAGGACTCAATCCCAGAACCCTGGGACCATGACCTGAGCCAAAGGCAGATGCTTAACCGACTGAGCCACCAGGCTTCCCCACAGTTTTCAGAGTTTAAAGGAAACTCTGACTTTCCGAAACCCTTCTAAGTGTCTTCACTCGTGCTATGCTGACAGGTACCAGTGCTGACATGAGCGCCTGCCACGATTTCCGTGGTGTGTGGTATACGGTGGCGGGGAGGGGGGCTGGAATGCCTAAAACCACATGGTGGGAACTGATAAGGCTTCGGGGTGTCCCCGTATTGTTGTGTGTCTGTATTAAAGAAAAAGGGCTCAGTGATGTTTGCCTTCTGCACAGTGGAGTTGGCAGCAGACTGTGGGACTTTTAACAATGTCTTGTGTTCTCCCCAACACAAGCGGAGACTTTTAGAAAGAGGAGCACACATGTAATTCTTGTGCACCCCAAGAGAAGGCTTCCGTGTGAACTTAGAAATGCGGAGTGCCCCGGCAAGCACGAGCTTCTGTCTCAGGGGAGCGAGCGCTCCTGAGGAATCGTGGGTTGTATTCACACACGTGTATGTGTGTCTGTTTGCGTGTGCGTGCACACACACACCGTGGCCACGTTGAAGGTGGTTCTGATGGAAGCTGCTTTGACAGATCTTCATTGTGTTAGACTCATAACTGCACTGTGGTGGGCTTGTGATGCGCATGGAAGTAACGCAGCCTTCTTTGTGCTCAGTTCCTCCCCGTGTACAGCCCTTCAGAGGAAGAGAAAAAGGACCCCGCGTTGTACGCCAGCAACGTGCGGCGCGTCATGGCCGAGTGAGTGCCCCTCGTCCTGCCGTGTCAGAGCCAGAGTCCACAGCGTCCTCCGAACACCCTCATCCCCTGGGAACCCTCAGAGTATTAGGGTGCCCATTCATGGGCTGGTTCCTCCTTAGCATGGCACAAAACATAGTGGCATTCGGAAAATGGGTCTTTGCAGAAGCGAATGAGTAAGTGCTGACTGTGCGTTTGGGCAGGCGGCTGCGCTCGGCCGCTCTGCACCCGCGGTCTCTGCCGGGTCCTGCTTCTGGATCTGCGTCATCATCACTTAACTTCATAGATTTCACCTGTGTGGTAGGAACCGGTCACCAGGGCGCCAGGCTGTGCACGCGACGGGGACGGCAGCACCGCCTGGCAGCCCGCGGGACGACCTTCACATTCTTCACCTGCTCGTGTGGTCTATGCTGGCACCTTTATTCCAGCTTACCAGATCCAGTGTGGGAACTAGATGCTGACCTCTAAGATAACGTGCGCGAATTCCACAAGTGAGCGTGCCGTTCGGAGGTTCTTGCTTCCTGATTCCACACCGTTCCTGGCTATCTTGGACGGGGTGACAGCAGCCTGCGCCCTGCGTGGCTTCCTCCCCTCACGTGCCGTGTCCCATCTTCTCCTCCTCTCTTCTGCTCCCGCCTCTGCGTTTGTGCGGGGCGGGGAGGGGGTCTCAGCGGCTCCACAGGCATGCCCCTCCCGCGTGGGAAGTTCCTGTGGCTCTGGAGGGGTTTTCCCTGTGCTGTGGCCGAGCTGGTGTGACCGAGGTGTGAAGTCAGCCCCATCCCCTCACTGTGTGCCCATCAGACCCTCCACATTCACGTATTCTGTGAGACTGTACTAAGCAAAATCATAACCTCAACATATGTAAATTAAAACTTTGCGGGGTATTCAGACATCGTCCGCACGCCCCTCAGGAAGGTAGGTGCTAGGGACAGAGTCCAGTGGGACACCCCCAGCCTCCTCGGGCACCCACTCGCCAGAATTCATCTCCTGCTCACTCTCGGAATCCCACACCAGGTCGCATGGAGAGCAGTTGGCTGTCAGGATGCACTTGACTCTCAGTTTGGGGGATGTCAGGGTGTTCAACCTCTCAGTAAAGAAATAATCTCCGTGGAATCAAAGGTTTGACGGGTTAAGTGTGAATTTTTTTAGATCACATTCAAATAAATTAGCTAATTATATTGGAAAAATATATATATCATAAATTCCCTATGTTAATGGAAGAGAGGCATCTTAATATCAAATCGAAAAGGGCAGATTAGCCACTGGGCATCCCCCTGCCCCCGCAGCCATGGGAGAACCCAGAAATGTGGAAGTGCGTCCTTGCACCCACTGAGAACAGCCCAGCCCCGGAGAGCATCGCGGGCAGCCCGAGTGCGCCTCCTCCTGCCTCCTTGTGGGGATAACCTGAGGGGCTCCTGGTAAGCCTAGCTTCTGTCCCCACGCAATGGTCCCTGAGTTTGCCGAGCGGGGTTATACTAGCTGTGGAAGAAGGACTTTGAAGCCCCTGTCTCCTAGCCACAATTGCACGGTACCGTCATGGCAGTGAGGAACTACTGTGGAGATGATTAAAAGCCCATTCGGTTATTGGGGGAGGGGGCTTAGTTTTAAATACTTGGCAAATTTTCTACCATTGTTTCCTTTAATAGAAGAAGGGCATTTTTTCATGAAATCTGACGCAGTTCTTTGGAATGGCTGAGCTCTGACTTCGGGGCACCGCCAGCCCGATGAAAGCAGCCCCTGATCGCCCCTAAGACGAGTTGAGCTTCCGAATTAGACACCCGGGGGGGTGGTGTCCTCGAAGCACCAGCTACACGCTTGCTTCCTAGCAGGGTGGAAACCAGAGTAATACTCAGCCAACCGCAAAGCTTGGGGGAGCCCCAGGTTCTATGTGATTGGACTTTGGGGTCCACTAGTAAGCATTCATGTTTAGTGCCAGATGTGGACTCGAAACGTTGTCTTTCTGTGCATGTCGGCATTCAGAGTGCTCGCCCCCCAGTGGCTCCCAGTACATACACCTGTGTGGCAGGATGCTTCTGTGGGCGTGTGTGAGAACTCTGGTCCTGCAGGACCCTGGGGCGAGCGCCCAGGGCCAGGGCTGTAGCCGTCGGGGCCATAGCGCCCCTGCTTGGACCCCCATCGCCTCCCCCCTCCATCCCCCAGGTTCTGTCCTGCGCAGGCCCTGTCCAGATGCCCCTTCTTGGGGGGAGACACGTGGGAGTGGACGGGAGAGATGGCTTTTCCTGTCTGTGGACAGCCTGGGGGGACGAAGCCTGTCCTCCTTCATGTGTCCAGACCCAGGGAAGTTTTCAGGGTGTCCCTCCCACGAGGCCTTCCCGGCTTTATCTCACAGAGCACAGGCTGCGGCGAGGGCTTCTGCCATCTGCTGGAATGGCGGGAGATGGCCTCGCTGGGCCCCCAGCAGCCGAAGGGACCGAGCACTACTCACGGCCGCCTGACGAGCCCCCTACAGGCTCGAGAGCGGTTCACCGGCCTGGCAGACATCTTCACGGATTCCTGTGCTTTAGTCCAGTCTTAAATGTTGGCTTCATTCTGGACACTTCCTCCTGCTTCCTGGAGTTCTTTCCTCACCGCAGCGCCGCCGACTCCCCGGGGCTTTCTGGAGCGAAGCCGCCGACCTCCAGCTGTGGCTCCACGTGGGCCTCCCACATTCTCGGGAAGCTTGTTCTTTCCACGGCCTGCACAGCTGCCCTTGACACCACCTGTATTCGTAGCAATTTCTTCCTCTTTAACTAAAACAAGTTTTATGGGGGCCACAAAATTAGCACACGGACACCCCTGCAAAAGCATGACTTGCAGATAAGCCTCATGGGCCCCAGAGGGAGGGCTCGCCGACCCCAAGTGCATGTCGTCATGCACAAGCCACGGCCTGCCTCAGATGCACGGGGTCTCGGTGGGACGTGGGACAGGTGCCACCGCTGCGTGGACGGGGTCAGAAGCCGCTGGGGAGGGGCCTGGGAAGTGGGGCCTGCGTTACTTTGATGTGGCTCCCTCTCCCGTGGTCACCCTGAGCCGTCCTCCTCGCTCTGCTGCCCCGGGGGCGCTTGACTAGGATGTCCTCCTCTTTGCAGGGCCCTGGGCATCTCTGTAACCGACTACACGTTTGAGGACTGCCAGCTGGCCCTGGCGGAAGGACAGCTCCGTCTCCCTGCGGACACTTGCCTTCTAGAATTTGCCAGGCTGGTGAGGGGCCTGGGGTGAGTGTGGCGCTTTTTCTTTTCAAACCCCTCCCTCACGCACCATGGCTTATCTGGCCACGCTCGTGGGGTTCGCTCAGGAACGGGAGAGTTCTGAACAGCACTGCCGAGATGCTTTTTCTAAGACAGGAAGCTTCCAGAAACTTCTGTCAGGCCCTCCCAGGGGCCCCCACCCCTGCCGTTGTTGGTCACCAAGCTGGAGATCGCGGTGGGCGCTGAGGGCCAGCTGGGCCTTCAAGCCGACAGAGGTGCTTGTGCTCAGGGTTTGTGGGAGCTTTCCACGTGTCCACATCAGTCCACATAGAAGTGTCTCATAACTCTCCGTGCTCAGCACAGCGGTCCCAGCCGATGGTCACACCCAGCTGCCTGAGGGGGGTCCGCGGAGGGGACAGGGCGTCACCCCTTTGTAGACGCTGAGGCAGAATACATGCTATGCATGCCCTCAAATTATTAGAACACCTTTTGTTGAAAATGAACTTGCTGCTCGCTGTAGAAGCAATTTTAATATTTTGTTGAGTCTCGTTATAGTAAATCTCCTGTGTTTGGCATTCTGTAATTTTAATGAAAAATATCTTTTCCTCTTTTTGTGTGTAGGTTAAAACCAGAAACACTTGAGAAAGATCTGGATAAATATTCCAAAAGCGCCAAGATGCAGAGGGGAGGAGAGTTGGGTCTCCCTGAGTTTGCGGAGTACCTGGGCGTCCCTGTCTCAGACACGCTGGAGGACATGTTCTCCCTGTTTGATGAGGTGAGGCTGTCACCCTGGGAGGGGTTTCATGCAAAACCTCCGGCTTTCAGATGTGTATTGTTTCCTAATAAGCATTGTTTGGGGATTTGGGAAGTAGAGAGGGAAAACGGCCCCCCCTTGCCCCGACCAGCCCCCCTGTCCCTTGGGTATTTTCTCCCGTGTTTTTAAATGCACATAGAAGTTTGACATTTAAGTTGACATTTGCTGATAAACCTGTAGTTTGGGGTTTTAAATGGAATCGCTGAAAACCCCAAAAATATCAAAGAGTGTTCCCTTCTCCAGAAATCCAGAATTTCTAGGTAGTGGGCCTCTTTCCCGACGATGGGCCTATGTAGAGGGTCACCACTGGCCTTCCGTGAAGTGCATCAGGACTGTCCCTGTGCGGCGCTCCACGCACCTCCGCCAGCCATGCCCATAATCAAGAAACCCATCGTGTCTGGACGAGGAGTCCATGTTCGCCAGTGCAGCCCTGGACACGGGTGGCCCTACTGGGCATAGGGGTGGGAGACAGTGCTCCGGGAGCCTCCTCTGCCCTGGGTCCACTCCTTGGCTCATTCCACTCACTGCGGTGGCCTGTTTGTTGGAAGCAGCGCCTGTCCCGTGGTGACCCCCAGGGTCGCTGAGGACCTTCTGCATGGAGCTCGGTGAGCGTCCAGCGGGCCAGGCCTGGGCACTGACCACATCGTAGCTCAGGACCGCCTTCATTCTGCATGCTCACCTCTCTGCCACATGCGACTAGGTTCTCAGGACATGAGTGTGCACCTTGCTGCGTGCTGGGGTTTTCCTCGAAGGAAAGCCTTAGCAGGTGGCATGAACTTCCTTATGCTTCATGCGCCAATCTCCTGGACTCTGAAAATCGACCATAATGACCTAAAAAGGGTGTGTGGTGTGGCCACCTTGCAAAAGCCAGTTGGTTATGAATGTTCTTCCAAAATATTCCTTTCGTGGAGGCAGATAAGGTCCAGGAATGAGCGTTCAAACCCAGCTCCCCCAACCCGCGGGAGGGGCTGAGCTGTCCCCTGAGGGCGTGTCTCATTCCCAGAGCGGAGACGGCAGGATGGACCCTCGGGAGTACGTGGTCGCCCTGTCTGTCGTCTGCCGGCCGTCCCGGACTCTGGACACCATCCGGCTCGCGTTCAAGGCAAGTGTGGCATTTATGGGAGTTTAATTTGTAGGGACAGTGAGACACGGGGTCACGGCAGGCCTCGCCTACATTTTCACAGCTCCTTATCACACGGGCAGACGTACTCTGTGCCTGATTGCTATTTTCACAGAAGCTTCTATCAGCCATTGTACAAATGCCCCCAAACCTCCTCGAATCGATTTCTGCCTGCAGTTTGTAATCCACACTCACGAGAACGGCATGGAGGAGGGTCTTTGTGAGTTCCAGCCTGGATAGGGCTGGGGAGTGCCCCACGCCAAGTGGTGTTACACATCCATCCTGTGCGGCCCCACACCTCTCAGCTCTCCCAACTCGACTTCTTCATCAGCCCATTGACTCAGGGTGCGAAGGAGCCGCCTGTCCAGAGCCGAGCCATTCACCCCTGCTGCAGGGATTCTCAGAGTCTGGGAGACACCCATAATGGGGTCCCTGCTCACCTGCGGATTCACCTGGCTGGCTTCACCAGGACACCGTCAGCTAGGACAGAGCTGGGCTGGCTTTACTCACCTAGAAACACATTTTGTCAGGGTCTCAGAATGGGTACTTCTTGCAGGTGCAACTCACGTTAACCAGATTCATGAGAACCTGAGGTATAAGCCAGCTGGATGCTTGTCTCTCACTGCTTAGAGAATGCCCCCTTCCTTGTTTATGACCCCAGCAGCCCCTCCCCATAGCATCACCGGGAAACCCCCTCAGTGCACGGTGCCTCACGTGGATAACACCATGAGAATTAACTGTGTGACTGATATTTGGTGGGCCCTGTCTAGGAAGGCCTGACCTGCCTCCTCCAGCCTGAGCAGGCTAGCTCTGAGGGCGCTAGGCCTGCACCTGGCTCATGGCCCCTCTGCACTCCTGCCTTCAGCACACCCCATTCTGATGGACCCCAACCCGGCAACTTCTCTGCTGTCAGCTTGCAGAGTCTGGTCTGGGAACAGTGGCCGTGCTTGGCTTGTGTCTTGGAACATGGAGCAGACCGTTTTTCAGGCAGCCCTGCCGAGGCTTCTGCCTGAGGGGCAGGCTTACTGGCTGCGGAAGGAGGTGGATCCAGGGGAGGCGGCACCCCCCAAAGGCCACGTTGCTGGGCCTGGCTGGTGGGGTGGACATCCTTTCCCTACAAGGGACCCACACCGTGGTTCACAGCACACTCCAACCGTTCGGTGCCTTTCTCTCGGTCACTTGCCAGAACCAAAGCAGAAGCTGTTGGAAAGAGGGTCCGTGGGTTAGCCACCTCCTGAAGGTCAAGCCAGGTGGTGGCTCATTCGTGTCATTGAGCAAAAGCCCATGAGCCCCCACATGTGCCAGCAAGCCCAGGGTGCCGGCTCCATCCCTGACCCGGGGGGACACATGCTCTACCTGGAGGCCGTGTGTGGGAGGGCGGGCCGTGCGCTCAGAGCTCAGTACCCCGTGGGGGTCAGTTTGTGAGCGGAGTTCTGGCTGTTCTGAACCAGTGGGGTCAGGCAGGGCCTGCTTGAGAGCTGGGAACCCCGTGAGCAGGAGAAACAGCCTGCACAGCTGGGGGACTCATGGGGTGACGCTGGCCTCTGCCTGCAGATGTACGGGTCACGGGATGGAGACATCGATGAGGACACCCTGTCCCGCATCCTCAAGACTGCCTTAGGGGTGGCAGAGCTCAGCGTGACCAACCTTTTCCGGGCCATCGACCAGGAGGGGACAGGGCGGATCACATTTGGTGAGTGGCCTGGGAGCAGGGGGAGGAGGGCCCCGTTGTATGGGGGGTGTGCCCCGGAGGAGGGGCTCGGGGACACAGGGGAAGCGAAGCCCATGCATGCTCACCAGGGCACCGTGTTGTCTTGTGCAACACAAAATTCCCAGAAGGAAGATTCTTCCCCAAGCCTGGCAGGGATGGGTTAGGGGTTTTTGAGTCTGATTTGTGCAGGGGATGAGTAGAGCCAGATCCGACGCCCAAGCTTAGAGCCCTGGATCCACACCGTCCCCGGGGGCTGCAGACTGTGTGTGCTGAGGCCGGGCTGTGGCAGCCCACGGGGGTCCATGATCCGGGTCCCCTGTGGAAGCAGGGAGCCTGCCCCATCGGGACTGACTGCTGTGGGCATGTCCTCATGGGCTGGGGGGCGGTGGCTCATCACTTTTAGCCACACAAATTGGGACGGCTACGATCCTCAGGGACTCAGACCTGAAAAACCCACTTGCAGGCTGAGGTGAAAGGGTCTGGGGCAGTAGGATCCCTGGAAGGCAGCCCCCTTTGGCGGGCCTGCCAGTGTGCACATTTGGTAATGAATGTATTCTCGCTAAAAAAGAGTAGACATTTGCTCAGAAAAGGTCATCGTTCATGTCTTGTTTGGACGTGTTTTTAAAATTGCATCCAAATGTCAGGCACGAGTGTGTGTGTTGATTTAGTGTGTGTGTGTGTGTGTGTGTGTGTGTGTGTGTGTACACCTGCACAGAGAGTAGGGCATGCATCCTGGTGCGCTTGGGTAGTGGTGGTGGTGGGGTCGCTCATAGTGAGCACTGGCCAACTGCAGACATTCTCCAGTGAGTCGTTCTGTGTCCCCCGGAGGAGCACGGGCGGTTTCCCTGGGGTCTGTCGTCTCCCACACCCAGGCCTGTGAGTGTCACCAAGCTCTTGGAGGGCACTCTGCACCCCAGGACTGAGTCCCGGGGCTGTTGGGAGACGCACAGGCTCAGAGCCGCTCGGGCCCTGTGACCAGCTCGGACGGCGGCCCTGTCCCCCGTGCGCCGTGCCTGGTCTCTCCGGAGCGTGGCCGTTGCCTCGCCGAGATCGGGTGCTCACGTGGACGCTTCGTCCTGTCCCCAAACCAGACCCTCTGATGAACAGCCTCTCCCTCACACGGAGTACCCAGAATACACCGTTGAATTCAAAATCATGTTTTCTGTAGCTGTCCCCCGAACAGGACTAGCTGAGAGGACAGGACGGCCTGCTGCGTCGTGCGCTGCAGAGAAAAGGGGAGGGTCCCTTCTGCCTCCCCTCCCCCCTCCCCTCTCTCCCTCCCCGCTCCCCTCCCCCGCCCTCCCCCTCCCCCCGCTCCTCTGAGGGCACGGATTCCAGCCCTGCCTGAAGGCTGTGAGATCACAGTGGCCCCTGCAGGCCCAGGGGCAGGAGCCCCCGGATTCCAGACGTCTGCCCCCTGCCAACCCAGGTGCCTCTGTCTTTCCAGCTGACTTCTGCAGGTTTGCAGAAATGTTCCCCAACTTTGCAGAGGAGTACCTGTACCCCAAACAGACCCATCCGGACAGCAGTGCACAGACACCCCTCGCTCCAACCCCCAACGGCTTCTGTGCGGACTTCAGCCCTGAAAACTCGGACATTGGAAGGAAACCTTTCCGTAAGAAACTGGACTAGGACAGAAGGTTCTGGAGAGATGAGGCCTCTCTGCGGCCCTGTCACCACCCGCCTCCACCTGGCTGTGAGCCTGTTCGCGGTGACGTGGCTCGGCCTCGCTCTCCCGCGTGTTGTGTGCATGTACCGGCCTCGGGCCGAGTTCTGCGACACCCGGGGTCCTTCTGACCCCGTTCCTTTGTGGAGAGCCCGCGTGAGGGGTGTGAGGGCGGGGCTTCGCCAGCCGCGGGGCTGTGTGGGCCCCCCGGGGGACTGTCCCGGGTTCACTTCCCGCAGTCTTTCCTCGTGTCCCCATTGGAGTCCGTGCTCGGTGGCTTGCACACGTGGACGGGACTCCACATGCACACGCGACACGCGGGAGACCGAGACATGTCCCGTGTGTTTCAATTCCAGCACAAGTTCTCTGCCAGCCTGTGTGGGGGTCACAGCATGGCAGAGCCCTGTCTGACTTTTAAACATTTCTATATTTGTGGGAACTCATGAGTATTTTATAAACTTCATTTAGATACTTCAGGAAGCATTCAGCATTTTTTTAAAAAAAAAAAAAGAAAAATTGTTTTCTACGTCATTTTTCCTTTGAGGGCCAGAGGATATCTATTTATAGGCCCTTTTTTGATAGAATCCGAGGCTGTATGGGGCTTTGACTTCAATCTCTTTCTGGCCTCTCTCTACCAGGTACATTCCTCCGTCTGGGTCCGCCACACGCACCCAGCCCAGACGCCTTTTCTGCTTCTTTAATCCTTTTCAAATCCCCATCTTTTTTATAAACGTTACCAGCTTGGTATTTCTGTTACACGTAAGGTAATGTACTTCAGAGCCTCGCAAATCCAGCCGAAGCGTTGTGCGGTGGGGAGGTGGGTGAGTTAGCAGGAGGTCGCAGCGGGCAGCCCTGGCTGGTGTGCTGAGCCCCCTGGAGGCCGGCAGCCGGGCGATGGGCAGGTCCTGGCGGGAGGCTGGCGCCCCGCGCTCTGCCGCTGCCCACCGGGGCCTGCCCGCCGCCTCCCCGCGCCGCCGAGCATGAGGCCGGCACCGGCCCGGCCTCAGGGAAGGCGTTGGGGCCGCCGCCCGAGTCAGGTGAGGAGCAGAGCCTCCACACACAGGAGGGGATGCCCTGGTGTTGCCCCTCCACGCCCGGAGCTCGGCCCGAGGCACCGCATCCTTCCGACACAATTAGAGGTCCGCTCTTCAAGCACAAGGACCACAGCCTCTAGTTGGGTCTGAAGCAAAGCCTCTGGTTTGCTTGAGGAAGAAAATTCTTTGGAATTTCTAAATGAATTGGATTTTGTATTTGGGCATCTCCATAGAAAGCGACCACCAGGGCTGCCAGAAAAAATGTTTACAGACTTCCCAAGGCGTGCCGGGTGTGCGCTTCCAGCAACCTCCTGGAGCGAGGGGAAGCCCCCAGCCTCTGTTCCTGCACTGTGTCCTCCCCCCGGGGAGGCACTGCCCGCACGCATGCAGCCCAGATGCGGGCTTGGGAGCTCACGGTAATCAACTTTTAGCTGCAGAATGCGTAGAAATTCATTTTTAGGAGAGAAAACATACAAGTGACCAATGAAGGAGGTAAATAAACTAAGACATTCTGAGGGAAGGGTCCGGCTCGCGGCTCCCGGCCTTGGCGTCTGTGGATGAAGGGCTTTTTTGAATGAAGTGCCGCTGGGCATTTTCAGGAAAAAACCCCTGATAAACAGACTTGGAATGGATGTTTACTCCTGATCCTCTTCTGCACAGTGACTTAGTGTCAGTGGTGTTCCCAACTGTGAATGTATATAGTTTGGGAGGTAAATCCCTTTTGTGTGAGGTGGGGACGGAAGGGCCCCACGAGGACTCGGGGTCCAGGGTGGGTGCCGTGAAACAGCTTTGGATTTTCAGTGGAATGAATAAAACATAGTCTTACCCACCTGAGGATGTATTTTGTTATGCGTGGCTTTTTATTAGAAAGATAACAGCAGGGGCGCTGGGGGGGCTCAGTCCGGTAAGCGCCTTGACTCTTCATCTCAGCTCAGGTCTTGATCTCAGGGTTGTGAGCTCAAGCCCCACGCTGGGCTCCATGCTGGGTGTGGAGCCTGCTTAAAAAAAATAAAATAAATAAATCAAAAAGAAAAGAAAGAAAAACAACAGCAGACATCTCAGGCCGTGACAGAGAACCAATCAAAATGGGGTTTCTCAGCAACTCACCCAGCATATTTGGAAAACACAATAATTGAAATTCTGTAGAAAAACCTTTCTTGATCTCAAAGGGAAGGTCTGGAGCAATTCGGCATCATGGGACAGTGGCCGACATTTTAAGGCATTTTAAGGCATTCAGACTTGTATGGCTGTTTGCCTGCATGCTGGGTTGGTTCTAGAATTTCTCTATCAAACACATACACCTTAAACACACTTCGTGAAGCTAAAACAAGACAGGATCTTGCATTCATTTCTCTCATCAAGGCAGTAAAAGGCCTAGAATCAGAAAAAAATGGGGTCAAAGTATTACAGTCCCCAAAATTAAAGGAAATAACAGTTAGGTAGCCGCTCACTCCAAGGACCGAATATTACTTGCTGGTCCCGCTCAGTAGCACATGGAGAAGCGGGCAGTCCTGAGGGTGCATGGCCTGACCCCAGCGACTTCTGTGCGTGCTGGGCTCGCCCACGTCCCAGGTGGGAACAGGCTTGAAGGGGACGTGTGCACGCAGGACGAGGAAGCTCCTGGAGATTCCATCGGAGACCGGAAGCAGCACAGGCATCCCTGCCCTCCCCGCCAGGGCCCTGCTGCCCTCCCTGCCTGTGCTAGTCCAACCGGGGCCCCAGGAGCCACCCGCAGAAGCAAGTCAGACCCCAGCCCTTGGCACTGGCCATCCTCTCTGGGGGTTCCGGCCCCTTGACCACGCAGGACTCCCATCCAGCGGATGCTTCCTCCTAACGCGCGATGCAACGCTCCCTCCACCAAACAGGTGCTTTTACCTTCTCCCCAAAAAAGTACCACCCCGCGATCTTCACATCCGTCCCTGGGCAGCGTTAATGCTGCTAGTCACACCCCTCTGAATGTTTCCCACCGTGGAAAGTGAGTTACAGGACTTACCACTCACACCGCTAATATTCCTACACAAAACACAGGGGAGGCAAGAGGTGAGGGAGATGGGTGAACAGTCGACAACCTAATGTGCATGCTCTCGTGTGTGCACACCACATGCACACACACAGCAGGCCGGGAAGTCATCCCCGTGGCTGTCGCCAGCCAGGCCCTGTACCTGCTTATGGGGTTGGGACCCATACTTACAACTTCCTTCCCCACCCCCAGTGCACGTGGCCTTGGCTGCAGCCAGTCCCTCAGAAAGTGAAGGTTCTGTACCTAGTGGAGGATTCTCATTCCAACAAATGTGGAGCCTTTATTAGCCACAACCTTAGTGGAGAATGCCCAAAGGACCACCGGGCTCCAAAGAGAGAACAGCACCGTTCCCTGCATTCGTCAGCTTCCTAACACTCTCCACGTCCTGGTGGGTCTGAGCTTCAGAGCAAGGGGTCAGTCGCGTCCCCATGTAGGAACCATGATCTTAAAAAGAAAGAGCCCCAAGCTGCCAAGACTGGCTCTGGTAAGGAGGGCAAGCTGCTCGGGTGCAGGGGCAGCAGGCAGACCTGCTCCTCACCTCTTCGAGGGCGGGCCACTCGCCGCTCCGAGAGCACAGTCTTCTGGGACTCTGCCGGGCGAGCGGCACAGGGAGGGGGCAGTGACCGCCACGTGTGAGGTGCTGGGTCTCCAAGGAAATAAAACCGTCAGCCCTGCTCCCTCCCGGTTCACTGGGAGACTGACACACACCAGCTGAACTCAACAGAGATCTGTCCTGCAGAGGAGGGAGGAACAGAAAGCCGAGGAACGTTTTCAAGACAAAGCACCAGCCGCCCCCAGTAACTACTGGGTGTCAGAAGAGCCATCCCTGCCCATGTCACAGACGTGTGCTGTGCATGAAACCGCCCATGTATTGGTCCACAGCCCAAAGCAGAGCTTGCCCGTCATGGGCACCACCCCTTAGGACACGCCTCACGTTACAGGTGCCGTCCCTGGGCCGCAGCATCACCGGGTCCTTCCTCCATCCGGCAAGGCCAGCTGCTTCTGGGCGAGGGGAGCTTGGTCACAGCAGTGGACTCAAGTGCAGGCGTCCTTGGTAAAGCACACCCCTTCGCAGTGCCATACACGATGGACAGTGGGGAAGGAAGCCCCTCATTAAGTCTGCAGATGGTGCTGGCAGAATTGCCAAGGGCAGAGAAGACAAATCCATTTCCTGAATAAGCATATTAAAACGAGGACAGATCCCCCTTCAGTGAGGGAGGATCCAGCCTCACCATCCTGACACCCAGGGAATGGCACCACCCCGGGGCTACGTCCTGGACCTGCTTCTGTCAAGGGGGAATCCAGTGTGAGCACCTCAGCCTGCGGTGCTCTTGCGATGTTGACCCGTGCTTCATCTCAACCCCCCTTCCAGCCCCACTCTGTGCAGTGTCATTAAGCCCCCACTGGGCTGGCTGGGAGAAGAGGCGGCTGACATGCAGCCCATGTGTCGTGCCCTGGACCAGGGTCCAGAGATCAGACACCCACGAGGAAACAGGGGTGTGTGTTCCCAGCAGGGCACAAGCCAGGAGAACTGACCGAAAGAGATACTCAATGTTCTATCACATGTGACTGAGTCCCCGAAAACGTAAGTCAGGCCAAAAAAAAAAAGGACTTGACAAAATAATGGCCAGAATGTTTCCAAATCTATAGTCAGACATCCAAGAAATTCAATAAGCCACAAGCAAAACAATGATAAGAAAAATACAGCAAGGCACATTATTAAAAAAAACAAAACTCTGAGAGCCACTTATAAAGAGACAATCTTACAAGCAGCCAGAGAATGGCGCACACGTGGAAACTGGCTGTGCATGAGGGTCGTGAGCATGTGAAAACAGACGAAAATAGACGATGGTAAGTGTATATTGTAAGCCCCCCAAAGAAAACAAAAACATACAACTAAGAAGCCAATGGA